CTGAGTGTAAAGCTGTAGCCCCTCCTTTCTCTCTCCTTCCTCCACAGTAGATTGAGATACTGTGTGTGAGTTCCCCCTCCCCCTATTTCTCTTCCCTCTGAAGTGGCATCACACTTGTCCCCATATGGGTCTCCCTCTTCTGTTCCCTCAGAGCATGAAACCTGAGCTGAGCTACCTGGCTCACAATCTGTGTGAGATTGACAAGTATCGCGTTGAGACTTGCTGTGTGATAGGTAAGAACCAGCCCTCCTGCTTGATTCGACCTCTGTGCCTGCAGTGTGGGGGCCACATTAACAGCTATTGAGTCTGTCCTAATGGGGTACCCCTTTTCTTGGGGTAAAGCAGTAAAAATGAGACTGTGAGCAAGCAGTGACAAGCTGGTGCACTGTTGGCAGCACAGCTGAGGCAGGTCTTATAAAGGACATGTGGATGGTGATCCCTTTTATAAAGCTCCAAGATCTCACCTGGAAACCTGCAGTGCAATTCTGGATGCTTAATTCCCAAACAAGATGTGGAAAACTGGCTTGGTGCAGTTGTCTTCACCCAGCAGAGTGAGAGCATTGTTGGCTGCCACAGTTGGAAAAAGGTCTTTGCTAGAGCATTGGAGGACAGACAGAAAGAAAAATCTGCACTAGCTGTTGGTTTGGCATAAGGGGTTGAGTTGGATCTGCCTGAGTAGGCTGCTGCTTTTTCTAGGGTTTATGAAAAAGCAACGGTTGCTGCTGCTGCTTCCGCCCATTTCCTAGGTCTTTGCTGTTTTCCCTTACTTGTTTTAATCCAGTGACTTTGCTTTAGGGAATTACTATAGTTTGCGCTCCCAGCATGAAAAAGCAGCGCTGTATTTCCAGAGAGCCTTAAAACTGAATCCTCGGTATCTTGGAGCTTGGACCCTCATGGGACATGAGTACATGGAAATGAAGAACACGTCTGCAGCCATCCAGGCTTACAGGTGTGTGCAGGGCTGGGGGCCAAGTATCTTATGGTGCTCTGCTTAGGAATTCTCTTCCTACCCCCGTGTATGCTAGTACTTGCATCTCTCTTTTTGTGGCAGACATGCCATAGAGGTGAACAAGAGGGACTACAGAGCCTGGTATGGACTAGGGCAGACGTATGAGATCCTCAAGATGCCTTTTTACTGTCTCTACTACTACCGGCGGGCCCACCAGCTCAGGTAAAGCCAGGAAAGTAGCCATTCCTGTGGGTGCAAACTCTGAACTGCTGTTAGCTAAGAGACAAATGTGGGAGCTGAGTTACCAGTGCTGCTTCTGACAAAGTATGTAGCCTCACTACAGTGACTTGGGTACATCAGTAAAGGATTAATACTCCTGCTAGCTTAGGGAGCGTATGCAATGATATATTTTGGGGTAGGGCTGAGTGCTCAATTAACTTGAAACAGTATTGGGTTCTGAGGTAGCTTCATCTTCTCATCGGCCAGCTTGACTGACTTTTGTGTCTTTCAGGCCCAATGATTCCCGTATGCTGGTTGCTCTGGGAGAATGTTACGAGAAACTCAATCAGTTAGTGGAAGCCAAAAAGGTGAGTGAGGTTTCAGAGAGGCTGAGTTTTAATGTGCCTGCCCGGAAAGCTGGTTGCTACTAGTCCACCCTGTGTGATACTCCAGGCCCCCAGAGCTTTTTGTCCACACAACGAGAGAGGAAGATGAATGGGGAACTAGCTGTTCTGTGGTCTCTGTGAAGGGTGGGAGAATTGGTGTAGTACAGCGGTTCCCAAACTTCGAGCGATTGTGTACCACCAGTTTAAAATGATACAACCTTAAGTACCACCAGCACATTTTTGTCCTATAAAGTGATTATAATAAATCTGTTAACACAGAACCACTGACAAGTGTCTGTGTACCGCTGGTGGTACCCATGCCACAGATTGGGAACTGCTGGTGTAGTATGTTGTTTGAGGCTAGTCTTAGCTGATTTCTGTTGTCATTAAGGGAGGCTTTGTTTTCGGTGTCAGCCCAGACCGGATGGTGAATCTGTCCGGTCTTGCTTTCCAGAGGCCCAGTTCTCTTCATCCCCCTGCTGGAGGCCCCTGCAGCAACTTTCTGACCCACTTGCATCTCCTATACATGTTTTGTCGAGATGCTTGTGCGAGTGCTTATTTCTTCTCTGGCAGTGTTATTGGAGAGCTTATGCTGTGGGAGATGTGGAGAAGATGGCATTGGTGAAACTAGCAAAGTGAGTACAGATGTGCATTTGTTGTTCCCAGTACTTGGGGATAGATTGGCTCCTTCATAAAGCAGTTTGAGATCTCTGTAAATGCTGGGTAAGAGCTGGGTGGCATTAACTGTGATGGGGAGAGTGTACCCAGGTCTTTGGGAATGCCAGTGTTTTAGGCCTCTGAACATACGAATTCCCCACGGGCCAGAGTGACTGTGTCAGGCAGTGCTAATTGGGAATCGGGTTCATTACAGTAGCGCTGAAGGGGCTCCGTTGTGGTGGGCACAGTACAAAGTAGCAGACAAATCCTGCCTCAGAACTAGTCAGGTGTGGTGTAGTGGGGCAGGGGTGTGTACCACAGCAGCAGAGCGAGTAAGGTGATGCTGGCTCTGATTTTTGAAGGTATAATTGGGGATAAGCTACGTGGAAAAAAGTGGGGAGGAGGATGCTTGGAACAGCCCAGGGGAGAAAAGGATGGATGTGGAATGAAGCTCAGCTGCGGAGGTTGAAGCAAACAGCCAAAGCTACTCAAAATTGCAGCAAATTCCTTAACCTTTCATGATTATAGTGAATTCCTTAGTGGCTTTTGCAAGAACTCCTGCCAGCTGGCTGGCTCTTCTCTGGGCAGCTGTGTTGGTTTGCTGGGCAGCTGGTCACTGTGCCCTGTCTGTGCTGGATTCTTTGGCGAATTCTAGTGGGCTGGGGCTTGCTGCAGTTGGAGTGGGGTAGTGTTGGGGTGATTCCTTTTGTATAGGTCCACCCAGACCAGCTGGAGATACAAACAGCAGGTATCTTCCCTACTCTGCTCCTCCCCTGTGACAGTCTTTCTCCTTTCTCAGGCTGCATGAACAGCTGAATGAATCTGAACAGGCTGCACAGTGCTACATCAAGTACATTCAGGATATCTATTCCTGTGGGGTGAGTCAGTGCCGTGGGGGCGGCAGGCAAGACTGAGTGGAGAGGAACTAGCTCTTACTGCTTTCTTATTACTCCAGGAGATAGTGGAGCATCTGGAGGTGAGCACTGCCTTCCGCTACCTGGCTCAATACTACTTCAAGTGTAAGCTGTGGGACGAAGCCTCGGCATGTGCTCAGAAATGCTGTGCGTTCAACGATGTGAGTAGCCATACAATCCCCAGCGCTCCTTTCATGGGTGACTTGGATGTTGGCTCTGCCTCCCCAGTGAGAGGGACTTTCTGATTAGGGAAAGTGAGCTGCATCCCCTGCAGTGCATTGTCTTCATGGCCATGTGGAGGCTTCTAGTGTTGAGCACACATCTGCTGTTGCTCTTTGGCACAGCTAAACTAACTCACTGCATTCAGGAGGCAAAGAACATGAGATGGAGTGTCCATTAACCTCCATGCATAAAGTCTTCTGCCTTCGTGCAGGGCCTGATGGACTTGCTGCCCATTTGGTATCAGAATCCCCTAGATTCCTTCTCTCCGATCAGCCTGCTTCACTGGACAGCACCAGGGTGCCATAGTGCTCACTCCCCTCATACACTGGCCTTAGAGAATCTCCTGGGACCTATCACAGGACATGCTGGGTTACTTGAGCCCAGAAGACAGCATGGCATGACACTGGCCCCTTCTAGAAAGTGGAGTCTCCACTTCTTCTCTTCTAAGTCCATTCAGCACTTTGCTCTTGCAAATCTACTCTGTGAAAAGTAGTTGGGTATTACAGCAGTGGCTGGGAGGTACTTAAAGCTTGTACTTTGGGTGCCAAAGGATATATTAAAAGGGGGGGTGGTTGTCTCAACACTGCTTTTAATAGCATTAAAAATAAATATCTGGGAGTAAGGTGCACAGTATCCTGCAGACTCAACATTGAGTTGCTGTGGGCTATGTAACAGTTCACACTCCTGCTGAATTTGACTCTGACTCTCACGGCATCTCCAGCTGCTGAATTTGACTCTGACTCTCCCGGCATCTCCAGTAGGCCTGGATTTGACCTTTTATTGATGCTATCTTCTCGCTTCCTTTTAGACGAGAGAAGAAGGAAAGGCCTTGCTGCGACAGATCTTGCAACTACGCAACCAAGGAGAAAACTCTTCCACGGAGATCTCCGCTTCCTTCTTCCTCCCTGCCTCGTTGTCGGCCAATAACACTCCTACACGCCGAGTGTCCCCACTCAACCTGTCCTCAGTTACGCCGTGAGCTGTGCAAATAGAGGCCTCTTCCCATCCCTGAAACAGCCACCTTTGCAGTGAAGCTTGTGTTTGGCACTGTCTTTCCTTGGGGGCAGGAATCCTGAACCTGAAGACCAGGCAGCTGTTGTGCCAGCACAACAAAACTTGCAGTGGGGCCCAGACAAAGTGCCTGTGCTGAGACCTCAGAACAGTGCAGTGCCATTGCCTGAGCGCAGCAAATCCCAACTTTGTGAGAAGCAGTTCCAGGTGAAACAAATGAGCTGAACTCCCATCAGGGCCAGAATGGGATCACCACTGCTTATGGCAAGAGTGGTCCCTGCCAGGCTTCTCTGCACATGTTAACCCACAGGTGTCCTACAAGCTGCTCTCCTGCTGTGAGCAGCAGAGAGGCACCCTGCTGTCATGAAAGGAAGCAGCATCTGGGGACCTAGGTGTCAGAAGTGCATAAGTGACCTGCAGTAATGGCTGGTTGTGATTAGGTCTGTGGCTCAAATGTTTTGACTTTGAATGGAGAAGCAGTCAGAGGGATACAATTAAATGTCGATGACTGAATTCCTGCCTCTGGGCTGTTTCATGGCACCATTTTCCTTTGTCCTAAAACAAGTAAAGTTGAACTAAGTATAGAAAAGATCCAGGTTCCAGGAGGGGTGTGAAAGGTGGCTTAGAGGCTTAACAGGGCTACTAGTATAGCAGCCTAGATCCTTACACCTAACATCACATCTTGTTTGTGCCCTAGCTGCCCTGAGATGTGGGGGGGAAGTGCAGAAGAGCAGTGTTGTCACATATCTTTCTCCACATTAGTGCCTCTTAAAAAGGGCTGAGGGATGGTGCTGCTTAGAGCTGCCAAACTTAAGCAGTTACAGGCAAGACCAGTAAAAGGGGCCTAAAATCTGGGCCCGTGCTCGTAGAGGGTTATGCAGCAGCTCCCCTTGTGAATTTTTCTTAAGGACCAATATGTAGGTGTCAGAGGAACTACACTGAATGCAAAAATATGAAGCTAAATTGAACAGGACACAGATGTCACTGTGGCTTCTCTGTCACCGGCAGTCATGAGGAACTGAAGGCCAGTTGGGCCTCTCATGCCTTAAACAAATGTGATCTTGCACAAGCTTCTGGACAGTTGCTCAAGGTGCTGTTGCTCAACTGGGCGGTGGCACAGGGTTCTGGTTAATTTAAGTTAAAAAGGCTAAACAGCCTTTTGCAGGAACGTACATTAGCTGAGCATAAGTAAACAGTGAGACCATGTGTCCTTTCACTGCTAAGGGACCAGATTCTATTACAATGCCTCGGTTCTAAAGCAAAGCCAGTTGTCATGCGCAAATCTTTCAGCCCCTATCAAACCATGTGTGCCTTTTTACAACTTGTCCATTATTTTCCACAGTGATTACTTTTGAAAATAAGTCTTCCCTGGACTTTGACTCTAACAGTGCTAGGCTCAGGCCATCCTTATCCCCAAACACTAGCAAGTGGTGTTGCCTTTGCTGTCTGCACATCTGCCTTGTCAGTAGGACATCCTTGAGCTTGCTGTCCCTACTCCTTAGCTCTGGAGGTCCTTTATTGCAGTTATTATACCACCACCCCCCACCCTGGTGGCAAAAGTAACACAAAGGAAGTCAGCTGCAGGAGGAGGCTGTTTTCCTGTTACTAACTGGTTGTATTGCCTTTGTTCATACCTGCGGGACTTGGCCTGTTGGTCCAGCAGGAGCTGCAGTACCCCTGTGGGACTGAAGACCTTGAGCAGGCATGCTGCCAAAAGTTGAAGTGTGGCTCAAGGTTTAACTTGCTTCACCTTAACCCTCCCATCATTCCTACCCTGCCTGGCTGTTTCCTAATATTCTTAGCAAGTAGGGTAAGAATATACAATACTTTCATGAAAGGTGGGTACACAAGTGTGTTGCATCACCCTGCTCAGTGTAGGATAGAAGCTGAACAGACTGGCACTGCTGTCCCAAAGCTGGCAGCAGACCACCATGCCAAGTAGCATTTGGTGAGAGCTTACTCTGGGCCAGGTTGCTGCTTTACCATCTTCACCAATGGAACACTTTATACCTGCCATTACTACTGCGAGTTGGGCTTGTAGTGTATTTGACCCAGGAGATGCTGTAGTCCTCGCTAGGGTGCCCTTGTTCTGTACACAGCAAAAGCCATGGTTGGTATAATGGCATCAGTACCCTTGGTTAAAAGTTACTTGATGTGAAAGGACTGCTCTTTGTCTTCCTCTTCAGACTCAGACAAGGTAATTTTGCTTAGTCAGCTGTTTGTCTCAGGAGCTTGTTCTCACCTGTTTGAGACGGGTAGAACTTAGACATGTTGGAGAAGCTACAGCCCGTTTCATGGAGCTGTTCTGTGCCTTTCAGGCTTTAATGTGTTCCACAACTGCCTGCAGTTGCAAGTGCCTGGCTTGCCACATAGGTCAGTCCTGTCAGTCTTATTCTTTATTAAAAATGTAAGATTTAGGGTCTAGTTTTAGGTCTCTGCTCTGCAAGGCAGCAGCACTACACCAGCTCATCCAAAAATCTCTCAACTGCAGCACAATTCTTAAACTATCTTGACTGTAGAGGCACAAGCTGAAAGGGAGGAAGTTTCTAGGAGATGCCAGGAAAGCTAGGGCTAGTTCTGATAGGAGATGTATGCTGCTGCCAGTAGGAAGACATTTATTGTCATGCATAAACAATGTAACAGAATACAAAAAAAAAGATGAGGCAGGGTTATATTGCAGTCCGGGCTTGAGGCTCTGATCCATGTATAGCGGAGTAGCAGCTAGCCTGAGACACAACGTAGACAATCTAAAGCCATTGTCGGGAGTCACCCCCCCCCACGGTGTCTGCACAAGTCCTGAAGAATTACCCTATATAGTTGTTTATATACATGTGGCTAAATACAGTAAATGCGCCTTAAAGGCTCAAACAACCCACAGGCCCCACTCAGTACTTCTTACCAGAGGGCAGGGTCTTGTGTGCTGGTGTTCCACGGGCTCGCAGGATGCAGCCGTAGGGGCCGCTCTCAGCCACCCCTGTTCGGGCAGGTGAGCAGGGCAGGAAGTTGCGCAGGAAAAGCTTTTTGCCAGGAGGCTGGCTTGGCTGCAGGTTCTCTCGGTTGGCACAGAAGCGCTTCTTCAAGGTGGATGTTGGAGGGGCCTGGAGCTTCTGCACAGTATGATACTGTTCAGCAATGCAGGCTGCTTTCTTCCGTAGATCCAGCTTGACCAGCATCATGTTGTTCTGCAGCTCTGCCAGCGTCTGGTCCTGTGACAAGAAACCCATAGCCAAAACCGGCCTGTTTAATACTGTACGCAGGTGCCCAGCAGCCGGTTAATCCATCCTCTTGCAGTCAAAGTGAGCCAGCTGTTCACACAGAGGCAGCTTGCAGTGATAGCGAGTTCTGAACTGCCAACTGAGGCAGAGCCAGGGGAGCTGAATCCACCTCAGAAAGTGACTTAAAAGGTTGCTTGAAAGCCTCCTGGCTTCCCACCCTGTAGTCAGCCCCTGCTGCAGGTGGCCATCAGAAGGGGTTCCAAGCAAACAGAGGAACAAGAAGTGTTGAGCCCCGTTATGCTGGGACTGGACAGAGACAAAGACCAGTAATAAACACGGTTTGTCTCATGCTGCTAGAAAACACTGACAAGTGTTTTCTGCCAGATTTGGGCAGCAATCTGACATGTCAGCTAAGCTCTGCCACCCACACATCCCAGCACTGTCATCCATTACCTGTCTAGCCAGGATCTCTTCACAAGTGCAAAGGGTTTCACGAAGCTTCCCTGCACTTGTGCTGTGACAACATGCTCTTTCTGCCGACTGCAGACACTCCTCGAGTTTATGCAACTCTGATCTCAGCAGCCTCACGTTCTGCAGGAGGGACAGGAAAATCAATGCCAGCAGCAGGCACAGCCACACAGGTAGGACACAGAGGTGTGAAACTGCAAGGGGGAAAGGCCCCACCAGAACAGTCTCCATCCCACAGACTGAGTTGAGCTAGTCCAGTTGCCACTGGGCAACTGGAAGTGCGGCATACTCTGGTCCCCAGAGCTGCAGACTGTTTGCAACACGAGGGCTGCAGTAGAAGGTAGCCTGGAGGTTGTGCCTGACAGCACTGCCAGAAGAGCCCCTCCCCTTCTCCCTCATAGGAGTGCAGTTACCTTCTGTCCGTCCTCCAGCTTCTTGTCCACATCTGCAGTGATGGGTTTGGCAGAAGGTGGTGGCTCCACCAGCCTCTGGTACTTGCGTAGCTCTGGGAGGGAGCAGGAACAGAGTGAGAAGGCCCCAGCCAACAATCACAGATGCACTGGAGAAAGGCTGGGCCTGGCACAACCAGGTGACCCGACTGCTCCCACTGCTACCCAACTGTGGCTGCCCTGCCCCTGCTCCTCACCTGCTGTTGTGGTTCTTAGCTCTGACTGACACTGCTCCAGATTGGCTTTGGCTTCCAGCAGCTCCTGTTGCATAGAAGTTGCAGATGCCGCCACTCTCTTTGACCTGCGCAGGCCCTCTTGCCCAGCATCCTGCTGCTTCATCTCCAGGTTCTCCAGCTGCACCCTTGCCCCCTGCAGAGCAGCCTCCAGCTCTTCAATCTTCTCATCCCGTTCCTGAGGGGAACAGCAGACTGGCTGACACCCAAGAACTTACACAGCCCCCTTAATGTTTCAGGCCCTGGGGGGCATCCCTTCCCCAAGCGACACACTGGCTAGCCATGCAGCACCTTCAGTGGATCGACTCAGACAGCACCTTGGTAAATAACAGGAAAGCAACAAGTGCCACCCTCTGTGCACACCTGGGTAAGTGAAGGGTTTGCAGCTCCAGGTGGATCTGCCTGATGGTTGGATGAGATGACCTCCTGATGTCCCTTCCAACCCTAATTTTCTATGATGCCTCACCTGCTCCAGGCAATGTAGCAGCCATGCAACTTACTCAACATGGCCAACATGAATCACGGGAGAAGAAATTCCTAAAGCTTCATGGTTACTCTGAAGAGGTCACCATTTTCTCCAGAATTTATTTAAAACAACAATGCCATGTTTTGGAGGGTTTTCCCCGCACAAGATGGAGAGGTGTCTGCTACCTGCCTGGGAACAACAGGCTGAGGGCTACCAAGCAGCCAAGAAGTTGAACTGGAGCTGGGGGCTATGGGGAGGAGCAGAGATGCCTGGCAGTTCCACCCTAGGGCACCATGCACAAAACTGAAAGGCTTCATGCTGCAAGGGTGATGACACAGCAGTATTCCTGGACCCAGACAAGTTGTTTCCATGCCCTGCCCCTTCCGCCTCCCTTCCTCACCCCTGACTCCCACTGCCACACACCCTGATCTCCTCCTGGTAATAGTCTGTGAGCGACTCCTTCAGATTGCTCAGCTTATCCTCATACAGCTCCTCCAGTAGCTCCTTCTGGGCATCCACATGTTGGCTGCAGAGAGCAGACAGTGACATGGCATCAATTTGGAGGCCTGAAGCCAAGGCTTAGCCTTAGGAGAGGACAGGTGCCCGTGCCCATCCCCAACCCCTCGCACCTGCACCACTGCTCTTTCTGCTGCAGGTGCTCCACCATCTCATTGCAGATCTCCTCCCGGAGCTGCATTTCCAGGTGCAGCTTCTCCCGCCGTTCCTGCACCAGCAGCTCCCGGGCAGCCTCCACCACACGCAGCAAGTCCTGCAGAAGCAGAACAAGAGGAGACCATAACCTCGTGCCCCACAGGTCCAAGATGGTGACCTAGTCTTACTGTCCCACCTCTGCACACTATACATCACCCCAGAGGGTGCAAGACAGACACCACCCACCTCCTTGTTATACAAGGACACATCTGCTTCATCTCCACCCTCTTCGTCAGATTCCATTTCCTGCTTTAGGCCTGCTTCTGAGCTCTGGCTAAGACGTCTGTGTTCCCTCATGATGGACTGGATGGATGGGAGAACCACTTTTGCAGGAGCTTGAACAAGCTGAAGAGAAAACAGGTTGCCGACATGAGCCTACATTGCCTGCAGACCTGATGGCATCAGGCCAGTGCTCTCCTGTCACAGCCAGCCTCACTGTGCAAGATGGCAGGACCTGGGAGCACAGTGCACCTTGGCAAGGACTGCCTCACCCCCTTGCACCGAAGGGCAGCAGCTCACTTGCATAGGAGCTGGAGGAGGCCTGAGATCCAAGCCAACCACGGGGTTCATGGAAGATCCAGAGAAGCCCCTGCACTGCCAGGGACCGCAGCACTTGTGCATCTCACTGACCTGGCTGGCGAGTGCTGAGAACTTGGCCACGTGCAGGGTTTCATCATACATGGACGCACACTGGCTAATGTTGACGATCATGGAGGAGCGCCCGCGCCCTGTGAAGAATCCCTGGAACACACGGGTCAGCTTGCTGTCCCGGAAGGGAACCACAACCAGCTTCAGCCTGTTGGAAGAGCACAAATGCGCTGAGCCTGCAGAAAAGTATGTGGGTAGCCCCCGTACCACCCTGGTCCCTGAGCTACTCACTTGGACTGCTGGTTCTGGCGCAGGGCAGCAATGCAGCGGCCTAGCGTGTGCAGAGAGGTGTTGATGTTGTTTGCCTCCTTCATTCGGTCCCCGCTCTTCTGGTCCTTGCAACGCTCCGAGCCAGCAAGGTCACACAGGGACAGTCTGGAAGAGACCCAGGGCACTGCTGAGATTACAGTCCATGTGTTGTCATGCACCCACCGGCCTGAGCTCACTCCCCACCTTCCTTGAGCCTCAGGACAGCTCAGCCATCTCTTCTAGAGGTTTGTTTTAAACAACACTACCAAGCTCAGGTCAGGGGCCCAAGCTCACCCAGAAATTCCCTGTTGGGTGCTGCTTTCCAAGCACGGATCCAGCAAGTATGTCCAGCTTGCTGCATCCCAGACATGAGTGTTAAGCTGCTCAGCAGCAGCTGTCATGAGGGCCTCCTTGGATGCAGGGATGGGGTCAGTCAGCCATGCTCATGCTGATGCAGGATGTTCCTGTGCTTCCTAGAGCAGCTTTGTTGCTCTCTCCAAAGGGAGCAGTGGGACACATGCACAACAGCTGCTCTCCACCTCCCCAGTGAGTTCCAGCTTCTGAAGGCCCCCAAAGATCCATAACAGCACCATGGCCTGGAGAGCTCTAGACCTGTAGCCCTGTTAGCCCCATGCAATCTGAGAATCAGAGCCAGGCTAGCAAGGCCCTCAAGTGGTCACTGGTCCAACCCCCACTTGCTCGTGGCAGGATCATCCCCAAGCACTCACTCGCTGATTTTGGGGATCATCTCACTGCTGCCCCCTGTTAGGTGAAGAATCCTGATGGAGAAGATGCTGTGACTGTAGGGAGCAAGGACAAAAGATACACTTGAATGGAACATGCAATGACCTCCTCTGGCACCAGTCCAGCACCTAGTTCCATAAAATGAGCGCTCCTCGCACAACCATTTCTCTCCTCTCCCTGCCCCCAACCTGCGGCTGGAGTTCTGGTTCAGGTGAGTGCTGGCAAAGCTCTGGTTTTTCTGACCCAGCTTCAGGAGCTTCCAGGCCTCGTCGGCATCTTGAATGTGGATCCAGTTCAGATCTGAAAGAGCAGACAGGTGGGAAAGTAGTACAGATAGACGTGGTTTGCCTTCCGAGGCCCTGGCTACCTACCGCATCCCAGGCTTCACTGCTGCCAACAGCCAAGCTGAACTTCCCTGCATTGTTTGGGCCTCCTGAGGGATACCAGCCCGAATTCAGCAGAAGGGAACTGCTGACTGTGTATAAAATGCCCTAGGGCAGCGTTTCTCAACCCATGGGTCGAGACCCAAAAGTGGATCACAAGAATCTCTCAAAAGGGTCACAAACAGACTTAAAAAATGGATTCTCCTTTTCCCACAAGAAAAATGCAGGAAACTGTGGCTTTTCCCTTGCAGAGTTTCAACCTGCGAGGAGCTGTTTGGGTCTCCCCCACCATGCCACCCCCCTTCCGCCCCCCCCCCCCATAACCCACACACCGGGGGGGGGCTGGGGCCTGGGCATGGGGGCTAGCAGGTCAAGAGCGAGAGGCACTGGGGCAGGACTGGCCACTGATGTTCACAAATGGGTCCTGGTACAAACAAGGTTGAGAGCTGCTGCCCTAGAGCAGTATCCCTCCCCCTACTACTGCTTGCTTTCCACAGGCGCTCCTGGCCACCCGACATTTCTCTTATCCACCCCAGGTTACTACTGTCTCCTTCAGGAGGGAGAATGATCCAGCAGGGTCCTTCCCCAGAGTGCTGCTGGGTCAGTTTCTACCTTTGACATAGGGATTGCCACTCGGGTCTTCACACAGCCGCAGCGTCTGCCTCTTGCGGTTCGGGCCAGGCAGAGCTGGCTCTAGCAAGTCGTAGATCTGCTCGTTGTAAATCTCAAAAAAGGAGACCCATATGGAGAACTGCACGTCTCCTGAGGCATGGAGCGAGACACAGTCTGGATCAGCCCAGCGAGAGCCTAGGTTTCAGAGGAGAATCAGACGGGGTGGTAGGGATTGCAGCAGCCCCAGCAGGTCTCTACCCAGCAGATTGGAGGAGACAAGGGAGAGTTTCTACCCCTGCCCAAAGTGTGCTTCATCCCCTCCTACCCAGGACTTGCCCTTCCCCCGGCACAGTAGGGTCCCAGACATACCGTCCAGCTGGCTGCTCTCAGAGTGGTTGGCAAATTGGCTGGTAGACGAGAGGCCACCCACTCCACTGTCATAACTGCTGCTAGTGGCAGCCTGGAGCTGGGACTCGGTGGTGTTGTGGCTCCTCTTCAGTGGAGTCAGCAGCTCCTAGGAAACAGGCAGAACATGAGGCTGGTGCAGGGCACCCTCGTCCTTCCCCAGTGGACGGAGAAGCGCACTCACCTCCCGTAATCCCCCGTGCAGCAAGGCCAGCTTTTTGGTCTCTTCTTGTTGAACCTGCCGGCTGTCTAGCCAGGCCACCTCGCTGGAGAGTGAGGGCTTGAGATCCATGGCTCGGTACAGCTGCTCTCCCACGCTATTGAAGATGAGTGCTAGGGAGCGGGGCAGAATCCCACCGTCCTTGCTGCTCCCTGGAGGAGAGGACAGCAGTGAGCAGAGCTCTCAGTCACAACACAGCAGCACTTCTTCCCTCCGAGGAGTCCAGGTACGCCAACACCCGATGCCTCACTCACCCTGGATGGTGTGAGTCTTCCCCGAGTTGGTGATGCCATAGGTATAAACCAGCCAGTTTTGCCCATTCAGCACATCCTGCACCAGCTCCTTCATGGTCGCGTCAAAGAATGTCTTTTGTCCGATGTCTGGGCCGAAGATCTGCAAACACGAACATCACAGGGGCGGGCGCAGGACTTCCCTCTCCGGCCTGCTGCAGCCCTGCTTGTCCTGGACTGCCACCCACCTCCGACCCAGCCCTGAACCCCGGCGCAGCCGGCCCAGGCTGCTCCATCCACGTAATCCTAGGAGCGCTAGACGTGACCGGGGGCCAGCTGCACCGGGCACCGACCGGACAGATGACAAGATGAGGCTCCTGCTCCGCGAGCACAAGACAATGCGCAGCAGACGGATGCAGGGACGGGGCGGGGGAAGGGAGACGCGAGGGGCTGGTGCGGATGGCCCCGGTGCCATCAGCGCAAAGCTGTGTGAACGGCAGGGCTGCCGCGCCGCGCCCACGGGCACCCACCTGCGTGAAGGTGAACCTGTGCGCCGCCTGGCCCACGCCGCGCTCCGTGCTGCGCATGGCGAAGGAGTCCACAGGCGCCCGCAGGAGCAGCGTCTCCAGGCTCTCGATGCAGACGCAGCCCTGAGGAGTGCGGACCCTCAGCCGGGGCGGGGGGCGCGGACCCTCCCCCGGCCCTCCCCCAGAGCTGCCGCCCCGGCCTCACCTGGTCCTCCCGCTTCTCCAGCTCGGCTGGCGTCAGAGGCCGG